TGTGGTGTTACTGTTACGGAGACTTAGTACACTAGATGTACAAGGAGTGTACACCCTCAGGTCTATGTGTGTTAATATATGTACACAGAGAGGCGTGTACCTCTCAGTGTTGTATACAGGGAGGTGTGTACCTCTCAGTGTTGTATACAGGGAGGTGTGCACCTCTCAATGTTGTATACAGGGAGGTGTGGACCTCTCAGTGTTGTATACAGAGAGGTGTGTACCTCTCAGTGTTGTATACAGGGAAGTGTGTACCTCTCAGTGTTGTATACAGGGAGGTGTGTACCTCTCAGTGTTGTATACAGGGAGGTGTGTACCTCTCATTGTATACAGGGAGGTGTGTACCTCTCAGTGTTGTATACAGGGAGGTGTGTACCTCTCAGTGTTGTATACAGGGAGGTGTGTACCTCTCAGTGTTGTATACAGGGAGGTGTGTACCTCTCAGTGTTGTATACAGGGAGGTGTGTACCTCTCAGTGTTGTATACAGAGAGGTGTGTACCTCTCAGTGTTGTATACAGGGAAGTGTGTACCTCTCAGTGTTGTATACAGGGAGGTGTGTACCTCTCAGTGTTGTATACAGGGAGGTGTGTACCTCTCAGTGTTGTATACAGGGAGGTGTGTACCTCTCAGTGTTGTATACAGGGAGGTGTGTACCTCTCAGTGTTGTATACAGGGAGGTGTGTACCTCTCAGTGTTGTATACAGGGAGGTGTGTACCTTTCAGTGTTGTATACAGGGAGGTGTGTACCTCTCAGTGTTGTATACAGGGAGGTGTGTACCTCTCAGTGTTGTATACAGGGAGGTGTGTACCTCTCAGTGTTGTATACAGGGAGGTGTGTACCTCTCAGTGTTGTATACAGGGAGGTGTGTACCTCTCATTGTATACAGGGAGGTGTGTACCTCTCAGTGTTGTATACAGGGAGGTGTGTACCTCTCAGTGTTGTATACAGGGAGGTGTGTACCTGTTATAAAAACAGTACGTATACAAGGTATACAGATCATAGCTGACATCAGTAACATGTACTATATAAAACCCGCTTGTTACGTAGAGCATTTCCCACAAATTAGGTCAATTTGTCCCAGGATGCAACTCACACCGTTTGACTAACACCCACGTACCTGTTTTACTGTTA